ACAGAGCTCAAAGACAAAACCATGGGGCCTAAATTCTTAAGAATTTTAAAAGAGAGAAGAGCGGGGAGGGAGGGAAGAAGAAAGAAACACCTGTAAAATGTCAACGCATGTCAAATACACTGTTTGGGCCCGCATCTCATTCTACTCCGATCCTCTCAGGGACTCCCACACTGAATGTAGTTACCGTTGGGTTGCATTTCAATCTCATGATTCATGAATTTTCAGTTTATTTTGCAACAGCGTCACTGGTTCTCTCCTACCTCTTCATTTGAGCCGTCGGCCCTCCGGAGGCAGACAGAACAAAGAGGTTTTCTTCTCTCCTTGACATTGTTCGATGAAATGTCTGTGGAGTCCAACGCTACTTGGAAATACTGTGGCTCTGGGCGCTCATTCTTCCTATCGGCTGGCAGCCCTCTGGGGAGGCAAGAGGTCCCAAGTCAGCATGACCTGGAGTGACCGAGACGTGGAACAAACCAAGTGATCTCAGCACTCCGCTTCTGATCATGTTTTCAGAGTAGCTGGCCCTGAGCACAGCGTGGTTCATTGGAGGCCTCCTCTGAGGAAAGTGGCCCTGGAAAGTGCCTCCCCCATATCTTTTGATATAATTTGGCATATCTGAATAAATAAATAAATATTAGGTAGCACATAGTCATGGGATATCTTATCAAATTCTTGGGAAGACTCTGCCCTTGACATATTTTTATTTAATTATCATATTGAAAAAGTACAAAGTAGTAATGTGTTAGGGTTTGTTGTTTTTTTTTAACTACAAAATAACTTATGCAATAGGGCAGTATTCTGGAAGTGAATTGCAAACCTAAAATATGTATAGTATATGAACGTTTTCTTGGGCTGTCCTTTGCTAGGTTTTTCTAGAAGGGAGCTCTTTAGTTTCAGAATCGGCGAGAGGCTGTGCTTGTGATGTATCTGGAGATGGCAACTAAAGAGATGGCTCTGGAGTCTAAGTTCAACATGTTGTTTGCATTTGTTCTCTGCTCCCAGACATGATGGGAAACACGCTCTGCTCTGTTCCTGTTGCTTTTCATGGTTTTAGCATCTCATCCTATTCTTTCTCAAAACCAATAATCCACTGTACAAAGCTTGGGATTTTGTGCTGACGCCAGTGTGAGAAAGTGTAACTAATGCATGTGTGGGGTTGCTGTTTTGTTGCCCTCCCCTTTTTTAATAGGTGTACTTTTAAAGATGATTGTGTACATTCAGAGAACTCAGAAAACTGGCTGGATATTTCCTCAGGAGCTAAAATGTGCCCCCAAATCCACATCTCCCAAAGAAGTAAAGATAAGGTAAGAGGAAAGGTTTTCATTTGCCTCCATTGTATTGTCTCGTTTTGCACAATTGATGCTAACTTCCTTCTGTGTGAAAAATACCTATTAGCGAACAAATATGCTTGGTTAGGAGAGTCATTCGCTTAATTAACTAACATTGAGAGCCTACCAGATGCTACGCCCTCTGCAGGGTGCTAGGGATACAGCAGAGACCAAGACGCACCGTGGACCAGTCCACGTGCAGTTAGTTACCCCGGGAGCCGCAGATGAACCTGAATAGTTGAATTTAAAGAAAAGATGGACTTTTAATGTAGTATGAAAACGTATTGATTTAAAAAATAGAGAAAAAATAAATTCAGACTCATGGTCAATAAGATGCCTTAAATGTGGCTTAGTGTCGAATTTTGTTTTGTTTTATGATTCCTTTTCCTTATGTGGTCAGGCTTCTCCTGACAGCTATTTTATGAACGTGGCTTCAAGCACTATTGGTAGAGTGGAGAGAAGCCGCTGTGGGCAGTGAATACTGTGAGTGGGGTCCCTCGGAAAGAAAGTCAGTGGGCTCCTGCCAAGGCCGAACTGCCAGTCAACCCTGTCTCTGGATGAGAGAAAGGAAGGAATGAGTATATTCAAGCATTTTCTGATTCACATACTAACCGTCTCCTGTGGGAAGATGGAATTCCTGCCCCGCTATCTCAACGTGCTGTAAGGAGACTTTGTCTCCCTAATTATGGCTCTTGTATTATGAATGATTGTACAGAACCCCCATCAGCAGCCAGTTGACCTCACTCTGTTTTATTTGAATGTCACATTAATAAGGAAATGGGCCATTTTCTTTTTTCTCTTACACTTTGCCATTTCAACTAGCAAGCCCCATACCTTTTAAGATGATTTAACATTTAATAAAGGAGAGCCAGAGCATTTAATGAGCGATAAATAATAAAAGAATCAAGCTTTCAAGTCATAACTGGTCAGAACTCTCAAGGGTTTAAAGTTTTTTGGTTGTTGTCACTTTCTATTGTCTTCCTTGGGGGAGGGGATGTAAAAAGAACTTTCAAAGCCTCATCCAAACAGGCCTGAGCCAAGAGTGAATAGATACTGTAAAAAAAAGCACGCAGGCATCTAAGCGTAGGCATGACCACAATTTTATTTCAGTCTGAAAAAATCGTTGGTGCTGATAGAGAGTGAGAGAAAATACCATAATCCTTGAATCTACCCAGGACTCTGATAAGTGGTTAAGATTATGCAAGATTTTTTTGTTTTGTCATTTTGAAAATTTTAAGGGTAACAATTCAGGTAAATATAGTGAGGGAATGTAACTTGTTCATTAAATAAAAAGTGCTGCTTATGCAATTTGCTTACCTCTCTTTGGGTTCACTCTTAGAAATTAACCACCATTTATATCTAGTCTGGATCATACAAAAACTGTTTACCACCCAAATAGCCACTACTGCTTCCCTCCCACCCTGAGTCCCTCTGCGGTTTACCCTAATCCCTCTCGTCTTCCCACACAACCATTACTCAATCTCTCCAGCTCATCATCAATCTCAAGATAAACGAGATAAGGATTTAGTAATTTGAGTCAAACTAGCCTTTGAAACCAACTTTGGACTGATTATTTTAACAGTGTTGATAGGACATTTGACTCCATCTCTTGGTCACAATGTTTCAAAAATATTTCCGTTCTGTGGTCGTTGATGACTTACCCGAAAGTCTCAGGTCTTTGTTTATTTATTTATTTATATTTATTCTTTTTTAACATATATTTTTATTGATTTCAGAGAGGAAGGGAGAGGGAGGGAGGGATAGAAACATTATGATGAGAGAAAATCATTGATTGGCTGCTTCCTGCACGCCCCACTCTGGGGATGGAGCCTGCAACCTGAGCATGTGCCCTGACCAGGAATCGAACTGTGACCTCTTGGTTCATAGGTCGATGCTCAACCACTGAGCCACGCAGGTCAGGCAGATCATTGTTTATTTAAATAATACCTGATCCCGACCTACAGAGAGGGCAGTCTATGGTTTTCCTCAATTCTACCCACTAGCTCTGTTCATAGTGTTGGTGAACTGCCCATCTTATACCTCATGGCATTGTGGTAACTTTCTAGGTACAGAAAACTCCCCTATAACAGAGACTCTGTTCCCAAGAAGCTTCATCTCTTTACACAGAACAATGAGAAGATAGTATATTCTCATTCTCATGAAGAAACCAGCATTAAAAAGAAATAATTAGAGCAATCCAGGTATCTTGGAGGGATTTCCATGAGGTTGAGTAAAAACAGCAAGATGCAGAAAAGTATGTTTTGATCAAAAAGTCCCTATCTAAGTTTATGCGTATACGTCTCTTCATGGTTATTTGAGAAAAATATGGAAGAATTGATTACTAGGTTGGAAACATGGGCTCCCCTGATGGAATGCCTGATGGAGAGGTAAGGAATAGATAAGTAAAAAAACACAAACACAAAAAAGGATGAATGGCATATCCTGTTCTCGCACTATGTAAAATTATGTTTGTGTCTACCGATAAGGAGATTTTAACATGCAGTAAAAATGGCTTATACTGATAAAAACAAAAATGCCAGAATGAAGTATTTCCCACAAAGAGCATGGATTCTAAAAGAGTGTCACTAGAAACATTCTTTTACAAATTATAATGAAAACAAGGAATTTCACCATCACTGATTCAGTCAGCATCATTTTCAGTTCTGTCCAGTCCAGTAATACAAGAAACGAGTACTAGGAATAATTATTGGACTGGAATAGACAAAAATACCATTGTTTGCCACTGTTAAGTGGTTGTATATCTGCAAAATCCAAACATATTAGCTTTTACCTGGTATAACTTTAAATTAGTAAAAGTAAAACAAAGTGTTAAATGCTCAACAACCATTTAAATATCAATAGCCTTATTTACATGTGATGTAAAACAAACTGTTAATGTCCATTAATAAAAGGTCCCATTCATCAAAACAACAGAAATTCTCAGGTTTAATCTTATATACCCAATATTTAAAATCATGTTTACTAGGAGATGCATGTTGAAGACAACTACCAAAAATGGTCATTTTGGCTTTATAACTAACAGTTTGTCTTGAGCATTTTTTTCTAATAGTAATTAGAATGTAGGGCAGTGATCTGTTGAGGCTATTTATAATTCATAATAGGGAAACTTATCAATTAAAAGCATAAATAAAAATAAAAAACACACAAGGTATTTTCTTAGAAGATATGAAAAGCATCTTGAACATATCCAGACACATACTATGTTTCTTGGCGGGAAGATATAATAAAAATGTCACATCTTCCTCAATCTATTTTCTAGATTTTATGTAATCCCAGTGAAAATTTGAATAGACTCTGTCTTAAAGTTAATATAAAATTCATCTGGAATAATATGAAATGGTTAAGAATATCCAAAATATATTTTGAAAAAAGAAAATTATTTAAGCAAGACCATTTCCATATGATTGTAAACATATATAAATAATGACAATAATTCAGCCCGTGATTCTGGTTTAAAAATAGGAATATACTTTTTACTCTATTTCATGAAACAGAGTAAAAAGCTGAGAAGTAGATGTAAAACTTTTAAAGATTAAATGCCATAAAATAAGAGGAAACACAATTATTTCATAAAAGGGACTATGATAACTTACAACATAAAACTGTCATTTAATTCACATTTTACATTAAATATAAAAATAAAGTTTAGATGCATGAGCTTGGCTTTATGGCAGGCCCGTCCCCCTGGGTCTCTCATAGTGCTCCATGCCAGAGCAAACTGTGGCCTTGAACCATTGCCCGGCTTCTGCCAGTAGGTTGCAGGCACTGAAATGGGTTACACAGTGGAAAAAAGAAAAAATAATAATAATAAAAATAAATAAATAAAATGTAGGTTAATTAAGAAGTTCATATGAAAAGCTGACAGAAAATAGAATTGAGCATCAAATAATTGGGAAGTATAATTTTCTTAGCTTTGAAGCAATATAGTATGAAATAACAAAAAATACTCATAAACTTGACTTTTAAAATCTATACAACAAAAACTAAGAAGTAACTAAATCACATGTATTAGGAAAACATTTGCAATAATTAAAATATTAATTGCAAGATATTAAAGCTAGGAAACATAAAAAAGAAATACATTAAGACACCAAAAGTAAGTGGGCAAAGTGTATATTCTCACAAGAAGAGGTTTAGAGAGTTAGCTATAGATATGGCAATATGTTCAACTTCACCAGCTCCCAAATAAATACAAATTAAAGTGATAATAAGATATGCTAACACCTAGTGTTGGCAATGCCAATTAGCACAATCTTTTTGGAAAGCAATTTGGCAGTATGTTTCAAAAGTCATAAATATATTCATTCTGTTGCAAGCAGCAATTCCAGGCTTAGAATTCTGAAGAAGTAACTTGAAAGAAGAAAACCCAGAAGCATACAGATGCTATTGCAGTAGCATTTATAGAATTAGAAACCTGGAAATGATGGAACTGCTTGGCAATAAGGGGAATAGTTAAGTAAAATAAGGCATGTTGACCTAGTGGAATGTTCCTTGGCCCCCATGGACATTATCAGTTAATTGACACTGAAACTTTATCGGATCCTTTGTGTCTTCATTTTCTCTTTATCCATTGTAGTTCAAGAAAGAACTATCAGCCTGCTAAGGATCTAAGGATTCCCGTGTTGGGTTTATTAAGCCAAGGCTTCAGCTATTTAACCATTTTCATTTGGAACCCAAAACCACACAAAAATACCTTCAACTTCCTGGCTAACCTTTCCTTCCACAGCACTTGAGAAAAACTTGCTTTTTCCTATTTTCAGATCACCCCAAACTGGCTTTTGCCCCACTGTTCTCTGGAAACTGTTCTCCCTGAGGTCACTGGTTGACTCCATGTAGCCATTTCAGCAGATGTCAGAAGTCCTCATCCTACCTGGCTGACTGGCCAGATTCTTGAAACCTTCTTTTTCGTTGCACACCCTGTCCATGCTGTCTTTCTTCTCCTCGGCCATGCCTCAGCCTCCCTTGCTGGCTCCTTCTCTCCCTGACTCTAAATATTAGAGTTGTTTCAGGCCCAGTTTTGATTCTTCCTCTCTTCTGACTCTCTACTTTATTCACAGACAATCTTACCCACTCCCATAGCTTTATGTATCACCTATATGTTCATGCCTCCTTCATCTCAACCCCAGATAGTGTGTCCAAGCTCCAGGCCCATATCCCTTGATTATCACACACTAAACACATTCAAAATTGAAATCTTGAATTTTCTACCCAAAATTGGCCTCTTCCTCACTGTGTCTCATCTCAGTACATGGTACCTCTATCCATCCATTTGCTCACCCAAATCCTTCACATCCACATGCCCCATTTCCAATCCTGCCCTATGCAGCCTCTAAAGGGCATCTTGAATCTGTCCATTTCCACTGTACCATCATAGCCCCGGCTTCTGTCCTTTCTTACTGATCTCTTAATTCTGTGTGGCCCTAAAACTAGACTAGATTTAGTCTAGTGGACTTTTCCCTCCTTCTACTAGACTATAAGCTCTTTGAGGATGAGGACTGTAGCTGTTCACTAGAGTAGTCAGTACTTTGCACAGCCCTTGGCACATGTTAAGAGCTTGATAAATGTTTATGGAATAAATAAATGCAATGATTATAGTTACATTAAAACTATGTATGTGAGAACTAGAAGGAAACGTGAAAAATTTAAAACAACTGGTAAAAATAGGATTTTAAAAAACTTTTCTTAGTAAAATACAGTTAAGATATATATGCATACAGGGTAATACGAGATGTGACTGTATGCTGAGATTGTGGTGCAGCTATAAATGCAGGGTTGAAGAAGGCAGGTGGATGAGAGGTCAGCCGTTTGTTGAAGATGAGCGAGTTGGTGGGAATGGCATGGAGTACGTTAGTAGCCTCAAGTCCCTAGAGATGGATGGACTTTGGTTCTTCCAGGTGGGACTGTAAGAACTTGCCTCCTCCCAGCATCATTCTATGGCGCAGAAACAGAATTCTGTGAAAATAGAAAGATGGGATTGACCCCCGGGCTAAGATAGATTTAGCTTATTAGAGGACAAAGGACAGCAGAATCCTAGGTGGCCACACAGAAAGTCTGGGCGGAGGTCAGAGCATAACAGAAGGTGGACCCTCCCAGGTTGTCTGGGATCAGAGCTCTTTAGGCTCAGGATAGGGTTTCCACTTCCCCTGCTCCAGCTTCCTAATGCCTAGCCCACCTTCCCACCACCACCCTTTTGTGCGCCTAGTACAAAGGGACTCTCCATCGGCATATTCATTCCTTTACGTTTCCTTTTCAACAGGAGGACTGGCTGCCTTGTTTTTGTGAAGTCATTGGGGGGAGAGTTGCTTTAGAGGCAATTTCATGGCTTTATGTTTGTGACCCCTTGTGTACCCACAGAATAGCCACCACCTCCAAATTTGGTCATATGTTTCACCACAAACAAAACTTTAAATAATTTTAAAAGTAGATTTCACAGGCCATTGGGCTGGCCCAATCCAAATGGTTCTGAGAATTCAGACATCTGAAGAGTTGGGATGTCCTTAACTACAAACTGATATTAGCATCCAGCAATAAGAAATACAGAGCTGATACCTGGATAATCAATGTACACCCTCTTATTTGTTTATTTGTTTGTTTGTTTGTTTTTTAATCCTCACCTGAGGATATGTTGTGTGTGTATGTGTTTTAATGATCTTAGAGACAGAGGAAGGGAGAGAGATAGAGAAACATCGATGTAAGAGAAACATCAATTCGTTGCCTCCCATACACACCCCGACTGGGGATCAAACCAACAACGTGGGTATGTGCCTGGGAATTGAACCCCCAACCTCTTGGTGTATGAGACAATGCTCCAACCAGCGGAGCCACCCAGCTAGGGAAAGGTACACTCCCTTAAACGAACCCTGGACCAAAGGGAAACAAGTGGAAAAAAAAATCATGTGTTTGGATGGTAATATTTAATATCATAAAGATATAAATTCTCCTAAAATTAATATATATATTTAGTATAATTCCAGTTCAATATCCTTACTCCCTCTGGACAAAATGATCTTAAACTTTATATGGAAGAATATTATCTAGGAAATGCTAAGAAAATTATAAAAATAAGGATATAAATATACTTATCATATAGTAAATATGTTTAAAGTCACAGTAGTAAAAACTTGATGAATTGGAATAGAATTAGCTCAGTAGATCACTGGAACAGAGCAGAGTTCAGAAATAGATTCTAAATATATGGTATCTAATATATGACAAAAATGGTATTTCAGTTCAGTTGAGCAAGTGAGTTTTTTGTTTTGTTTTGTAAATGGTTGCAACATAGCTGATTAACCATCTGGCTAAAACTAAGGTTGGACCCTATCTCATACTATATATAAAAATAAACTCCAGATGGATCAAAGATATAAGTTTTTAAAAATAAAATAATAAAGGTGGTGAGACAGTTTTATATTCACCTATAAGCAAGGGTTGAGGAAGAAAAACAGTCCAAGAATTGAATGTGTGATTCACAAAAGAGCAAACCTAATAGCCAATGAAACAGCTCTCTTTACATCGGCAATCTGAGAAATTCTTCTGTGGTGAGTCAAAGGGTGAGTTCACTTAAGATTCTGCAATGGATGGAAATGAGACAAAGATAGTGATTTGGCTCCTGGGTCATCTTCTTCCTCCCACAGACTACAGTGACATTAGTGGGAAGCATCTCTGCAAGACACTCGGGGTGCGTGGTGAGGAACGTGGACACTGGCAGGGAGTTCTGCAGAAGTGCGCCCAATGAGCCCTGCACCTGCAGCATGCTGACCGCAGCATCTTTCAAAGGTAAGTGGACATTGGTGCTTTTTATTAGAAAGTGAAGAAGGCAAGAGAATCTCCTGAGTTCAATTGCCCAGGAAGCAAGTTAAATGACAGAAAATCTCAACGCTATAGACCTCTGCTCTACCTCTTCCATGACTGCAGGAGCCCACTGTCAGATGTGACTGAGGACGACAGAGGACAATAAGTTGGATAGGCAAGCAGAGTAAAGACAGAGACCATTGGGCTGACCCAATCCAAATGGTTCAGAGAATTCAGACATCTGAAGAGTTGGGATGTCCTTGGTGAAAAGAGAGAATAGAGTGGCCAGTATTCTATTAACTTAAGTTCCTTGCATTCATTCATTCATACAAGAAGTATTTATTTAACAACTACTATGTGCCAAGTACTGTGCTGGTCCTTGGTCATGGCATTTATAGCCTATTGGGGTAGAAATAAGTAAACAGCTTGTTACAATGTTGTATGTAAGTACAATGGGAAGCACATGAAAAGGAAGCCTAACTGGACTTGGGGTGGCAGAGGGGACAAGGAAAGCTTCCTAGAAGATGAGTAGGTTTGAGCCAGACAAGAAGAGGGGGAAGAGTATTCTAAGCAGAGACCCACTAGTATAGAGAGAAAAAGCTTTGTTTAAGGAGCCAAAAGAGGTTCTGTGTAACTAAGGCAAATGGAGTAGGGACAGGTGGAAAGCAAAGTGATAAAAAATGGGTACCAAAGAAGGCACAAAGTAGCCATTTTCAATCAGTGGATTTTGTTGTTGTTGTATGAATGAATGAATGGCCTCAGGTGGAGAATGTGCTAGAAGAGGGAAGAGTGAGTTCTGAAAGATCAGATAGAAGGAAGGCTGTTGCAGTGGTCCAGGTGAGGTGGACAATGAGAGCTGAGACTGAGGCAGATGGGGATGGAGAGAGGATGGATTCCAGAGATGGTGATGAGTTACAGTAGACAGACTGAGAACTCATGAGTCCCTGTGGGTGAGAGGGAGACTGGCCCCTAGTCCCGTTAATCCCTAACTCTA